GTCCCCCTTCCTGACTTAACTGATATTGGGCAGCCATTTTAAATTGATTTAACCTCCCTGTAATGCTCCCAAATGTCTGTACTTAGCCCTAAGTATAAACAAATATATGTAATGTGCTAAGGTAGTGTTTAAGGTAATGTTAAAGCAATGTAAGTGAATCCCTCTCAGAACTAGAAATTGTAACTTGTTTTAAACTTACTGGGCACATCTACACATGCTATTAATGCAAATGAATAAACTCTGGTGCAGCTCGCACCAAGGTTTATTGTTCCTGGGTACCACTTTTACACCTTAGCGTTGAGCATTTTGATCTTAGTTGGAGGAGTCCTGGCTGGCAGAGGCCCCAAGGGGTCAAACTGCCAGCCCGGGGCTGTTCCGACCTGGCTCAATGTGCCGCAAAGGGGCTGACTGGGGCATGAGGGTGTTCTAGTGTGGGACTGGTTGGCAGGCAGCTCCAGTGCTGAAGCACTCTCATGCCCCGGCCAGCTCTGTTACCATCTACACATGCATTGTGGCACTCTAGATAATGTGCCGCAGGATAGGACTTCTGTTTACAAGTACTAACCTACGTTGGATTTAATTAGTTTCCAGTGACCTAATAGGGCTGCATGCGTAGACACTGAGACTTTTCTGCAGAGCTAACTAGACAACTCCACAGTAAATGTCTCATATAGATGTGCCCACTGCCTACCAGTTTCATTTTGTGACTCCTAGTTCTTCTATTGTGATCCCTAATTACTTTCTCTTCATCATTCAGTATTTCGTAAACCCTTATCATGTCCTCACAAGCATCTCTTTTCTAAATTGAATAGGCATAGCCTCTTTAGTCCCTCCTCATGTAGAAGTCCCTCCAAACCACTAATCATCCTTGTTGCCCTTTATCTTCTCTAGTCCTTCTACATCCTTTTTGAGGTGTGGGGACTAGAACTGGGCACAGTATTCAAAGTGTGGACACACCATAATTTTATAAAAGGGGTATAGTGATATTTCCTGCTTTGTTTACAAGTCCCTTCTTAATAATACCAACACTTTTTTTTGCCTTCTTGATAGCTGCAGAGCACTGAGCTGATGTTTTTAGTGAACTATCTGTAATGACTCCCAGATCTCTTTCCTGTGTAGTAACAGCTAATGTAGAGCACATCATAGTATAGGTATAGTTTGAGTTATTTTTGCCCATGCACATCACTTTACACTTTCCAAAATAGTATAATTTTCCTTGCATCCTTATATTTATTTACACCTTTTGATGTTACTGGCCATCATTTTGGTCCTCTGTGCTTTAAATGAAATATATGTATATTGGCAATGACTTGATCTTTACCTTTTTTAACTTTTAAGTAATTAATTTAGACTCTTACAGTTACTTATATTAAAATCCATCAGTTTTTTCACAGGCTACTACCTTATTGTGCTTATGACTTCTGTAAGATTATTCATGCTTTATGTGAAAGGATAATATTTTGAATGGCAGTGACTTCAACAAAATCAGTCACTAGGCAGAAATTGTTTTGTCTTAGTCATAAAAATATATTGAATAGTAATATAATTCTCAGTTGTGCTGCTGGCATTTCCAATTATCTCATGGTTATGCTTGCATAATTTGGTTTATATTCTACTGTATTTAGAAAGAACAATAAAGTAAAGCCATTTCATGCCCACCTGCCAGCTCTGAGATGTTATTCTTCATGTCAAGAGTATTCTGCATTAATCTATTGCACTGTTGAATTTGGCACTTCATAATCTCTTGTCTAAAATGTTTGAGATTCCATCTAGCAGAAACTGGTGATATATGCTTGGGACTCCTAAGTGCAGGGTTATGCCTAAGGTCAGATTTGACTGATGGCAGCCCTCTGTGACTTTTGCTATGATTTGGTTTACTGATTGAAGAAAAAGCATGCATTTAAAGAAGGGCGCTTGTGCCTGAAAGCTTGGAAATAACTTTTTTTCCAACTACTCAGCTGGTCTAATAAAAGATATCACATCTACCCAAAAAACCTTGCCTGCATTTAAACTATATACTGAATATTAGGAAAATGAGTCCCTTTGATAATTTAAGAAATAAAAGTAGGAGGCAATAAAACATGATTTCACTTGCATAAAAAATAAAAACTTCCTGACAATCGCATGTTTTAACACATAGCACATGCATATTAATGTGATGCAATTAAATCTGGAACTTATTGCACTGGAGTTTATTGCTTCCAGGTGCCTGGGAGTGCATTATGTTGAACGGGTAAGAGCAGCCCTGGCTGGCAGGGGGTCCACTGGATCAGCCTGCCAACCTAGGGCTGCTCCAGCCTGGCTCAACATGCTGCGGAGGGGCTGGCTGGGGTATGAGGATGCTTCAGTACAGGGTATCCAGAAGACATCCCGTGCACTGAAGTACCCTTGTGCCCCAGCCAGCCTGGTCAGCATCTATATGTGTGCTGCTGCACATGGAAAAAACTCCGCATCAGGATAGCATTTGTATTTCCGAGTACCAACCTGCTGCGGAGTTTATTCATTTCCTGTGGCCTAATAAGCATGTAGATGCTGAGCTGTTTACTGAGGAGCTAATTAGGCAGCTTTCAAGTAAACATCTTGTGTCGGCATGTCCACAGATTAAAACATATGTGGCATTCCTAGGCATAGGTGAGCATTGGTATTTGCTAGGCATAATGAATATGTGAAGAAAAAACAGTACCAAAAATATATAATTGTGAAAGCATATGATATGCAGGATGAGCTAGAGCCAAGTGAAACTACTGACAAATGAGAAGAATGAAATACACATGTCCTCTACTCTAACTTCAGTAACTAAGGATGAGTAGAATTCCACACACACAATACAGTGAAAGAAAATGGCTAAAACAACTTAATTAAGAAGAAAACCAGCTATATCTGGCTCCATTTATGCTGATACATATCTTAACGCATATCTTATGCATATCATATCATACTTATCTTAAAGGTATTTCTCCTGCAGGAGGAGGAAATCAAGTGTGTGAAAGAGAAGGAATCTTGCTTAGAATCATACTACTGTCTTTCTGATCAAGTGGAGCAGATTGCTAGCAGACTCCCGGTAGGGTTCTTTTCCCTTTAGCTGGACTGAGAACCACAAAGGCTAGGGAAGACATTACACGTAAACTGGTTTAAATGATCAGAAACATGTTTAAACCTGTAACAGAACAGATGTTCAGTGCACATAAACCAGTTTGAAAATGGCTGAAACCAGTTTGAGATAAACCTGGTTGAATGTAGTATCAAACTTAACTGATTTGGGTCAAAGCAGTTTATGCAATGTCTGTCCCAGACCCCTTGCTGGTATAAATTAAACTAGTCTCCCCCAGCATCCCGGCATGCTCTCTGGGTTGGACAGGGCTCTCTGCTCCACAGCAGAGCTGGCCCCTCCCCTCTGCTCCCTGGCTGGAGCTTGGCAGAGACAGCAGGCATTTGCTTGGCGCCCCCCCCCCCATCCCTTCTGATTTACACAGACACCTCTTGGCATTAGCTAGCAGATCACATACTGGCTATGGTCTGTGCTGTGGCAGACGGGACAAAGGCAGAATCAACAGATAGCTGGCAATGTCCCTCAGTTGTTTTCTTAATGGGTTGATAAACACTGATTTAGGGGTGATAAACACTATCTTATTAATTCCTTGCTGGGCTGATCAGGAGGGGGAAAACCCTCCCTAATCTCAGTGTCCTGCCAGGGCCTATGGAAGGGAAGGGAGGGCTGCTCTAGATCCCCTCGGCTTCTAGCTTGAGCCACTGTAGGCATGTGCCTGCATTTTGTCAGTCCAGAGGGGATGTCTGTATAGTTACAAACTGGTTTAGCCTAGCCAGATTTTTTTTCCAGACCAGAGCATTGATGCAAGTGTGTTTCATTTTGTTTTGCTGAATTGCCTGTAACAACAAAAAATTAATCTTATTTTGAATATGATGTGTCCTTGAGCTTTTCTAAAAAGAAACAAACAAAAATATGCTTGAAAGTAAGTATAAAAATGTGATAAGTGCCTAAGATGGACTGCAACCTGCTGGCCCAGATGTAAAGCACTGTGAAAAAGTCTGTTAGTGATAAACAAATTAGCTTATAATAAGTTTGAATAGAGTGGCAACAATTTTCTTCTAGCATTGCTAATACTACCTATAACCTCAACTTCATAATTTAGCATATTTTAAGAACTGATGACAGCTGTCAGCTGTTAATGCATCAACATTATAAGCTTTATAAATCAAGAAAAACTTTCATGAAGTAATTATTTTTTGTATGTGGAACAGACTCAATGCTTGTTAGATGTCAGTTTCCTGAGTTGCTTCATCCTGTGAAATAGCATCTCTTATGTCAATTGGAGCCAACCTTTTTAGCAGACATGCCACAAATTAAATCCCCTTCTTTCTTTGAGTGCCTCCCCAATTCCCTTCCCCTCCCCAATCAGCTGCTCTACTTTTGACTCCATACATTACCTTCCATGTGCCTCACGCAGGGGCTGCCCATCCCATCTATTGTACTTGTGCTGCAGGTGGACTGCCCTGGATTCATGTTTTATCTGTACCAAGCCTGAGCTGGAATTGTCAAACATAGGCTTATTTCAACTAGTCTTCAAGAAAGCAAAGAAATGGCAACATCTAGATCTAAGAGTGGTGTGGATAGTTAAAATAACCTTGAACAAAATCTGGGGCAGGGTCATTCCTTACTCTGGATAAACTTAGGAGAATGTAGAAAAGAAGGGTTTCTGGTTTTACCCACAATCACATGTTTTTCCAGAAATTCACCAGACAGGGCCATTTTGCAGTGCATAGAAGTTGGGGTGACAGTGCCAAGCTGATCTGAGCTACTGTTGCGTGTATGCTAGGAATTTTCCATCTCTTTAAGGGTTAGAAGTGCTTCTGATACTTGAATGAAGTGGATTGATATCTATTGTGGTCAATGAAAAAACAATATTTTAAATATTCTGATTATGCAATTTTAGATTTAACAACTGTTGTGGTTTCTAATCTTTCACTTTCTATCTTTATAGTGATGAAGCAACTGTTATCTCAGGAGTTAAGCTTGCTAAACAAGTCCATAAGGAAGTTCGAAGGGATGTAGAATCATGGATATCCCTTGGGAATAAGAGACCTCATCTCACTGTCATTTTAGTAGGAGACAACCCAGCCAGTCATACATATGTAAAAAATAAGATAAAAGCTGCTGCATATGTAGGTATGTATTTATCTGAACCGTACAGTAGTATTTTGATATTAAGCACAAGATGTTATCCTGTTAAAATATATAGTACATCTTAGCTTTATATTGCATAATTTGTTCCTTCAACATGCATGACTTCTATAAAATGTAGAAGTATATTGTGCTGCAAAAATATCAGTCAAAATGCAAACAAAGTAAATTTTTCATATTATATGAACATTAGGGACAAGTGTAGCCTTGGCATTCAAAGAATAAATCTTGTTTATTTAAAAAAAACTGCTAGAAAAAAAATACTTTCTGTTTCCTCAGAGATTAGTATTTAAGGGGCCAACACAAACTGAAATGCTTATGGCTTCTCAACTTTGTATATGATGATTTCTGGCAGTCCAATATTTGCATGCTTTGAAAAGGTCAGATGAATACAGGCAGACAAATGGAAGTAATTTCAGTTTTCAATTACTATTTATCCTTGCAAGCCACTCTAGGATTTATTTATTTTCACATTTAAAATAAATGTAAGAGTTTACTTTTTCAGGTCCTAGAATTTTAGGGAGGGGAATTCATAAATCAGTAAGCACATCTACATGTGCATTAATGTGCCATAATTACTGCGCATTAATTTTTTTAACTTAATGCGCAGTAATTGGTGCTACTGCACAGTAGCACCAGTGCACGTCTTTTAAGTGATACTAATGTGTAGTAGACTAATTATACTGGGCATTAGCATGTTAGCATGGCTTTTGCTATGATGCTCTAATGCAGCGTTTCCCAACCTTTTTCGCCCCAAGGCACATTTACCTAAATAAAAAAGCACCGCGGCACACCAGATGGGAGGGGGGTGGGGGGTGGGGCTCACGGCCAGCCGGACACCAAAGTTGGAGGGCGGGGAGGCACAGTCACGCAAGGAAGGGGTTATTCCTCCTCCCTCCAGTGGAGGGGACAGCTGGGGGCCTATTCTGGGCAGGGAGCAAGTGGGGAGTGCCAGGCAGACCCGGCTCCAGTCCCTGTTGGTGGCACAGGGAGGGGGGAATTAAACCCCTCTCTGGCCAGACCTCCACCCCTTCCTGCTCTTGCTTGGGCTGGGGAGATGAGGGGCAGGGCCAGCTTGGCTCGGCTGGAGCAGAGAGCCCCACCAACCAGGAAAGGGTCTGGGACGGACAATGCATAAATTGGTTTGAGCCAAATCAGTTAATTCTGATACTACATTCAACCAGGTTTATCTCAAACTGGTTTCGTCCATTTTTAAACCGGTTTATGTGCAATGAACATTTATTCTGTTACAGGTTTAAACCACTTTTGGATCACTTAAACCAGTTTATGTGTAATGTCTGTCCCCGGCCTAGAGGTTTACTCAGAATCTTCAGGTGTATAGTCCTGTGAAAATTAGTGCATATCTTGTTTTTGTAAACATTTGTTTTCTTTAATTTTTAAGATGTATTGAAGTGAGATAGTTAACTTCCCCTGAATTCATTTTTAAGATTACAAAGTATTTATATGTGCAAACTGTTGAAAAAGGTGGACTTTTAAAAAGCATTCATGTCCATTGAAGACAAATCTTTATCACATTTGAGAATTTCACCTCAAAAAGCTTAGCTCAACTTAGGAAAAGCAGGAAAGCACAAAGTGTCTTTTGTTTGACTTTCTTCCTATCAGGTATTCATAGTGAGATAATTCTGAAGCCTAAAGACATTTCTCAGGAAGAACTTTTAGATCTGACTCTCCAGTTAAACAAGGATTCAAAAGTTAGTGGTATATTAGTCCAACTACCTCTGCCAGGTAAGCAATTACATTTTATATGCAAATTTTAACAATATTAAGGGGAAAAAACTGTAAACATATTTTATGTACAAGCTCATAGCATAACAGGTTCTTGGGAGATGACTCATTTGAGGAAAGTGAGGTTTGTAATAGGATGGCTGACATGATGCTTGCACCTATCATGTAATCTGGATGGCTTTGTTTCACAGCTCACAAATGAAATAATAGTAATTTTTTTGTATTGAAGCTTAAGTTGTTCATCCAAAGCACAGATGACAGGAAACTTTGAGATTCCATCTAGTTTTTCTTCATGTTGTTTACAGTATCTTCTATACTACAAAATAGTACTGTCAATATATTGTGTTCTCAACCATGGCACTCCGGTTGAGAATCACTGGGATAAATTGAGGCTTTTAATCTTTCTTCCCCAAATACCTCATTACAAACCTACATTTTTATTGTCATGGAGAAAGTTGCCCCCTACCTGTCACCCAGGTACATTATTTTAGAATCATCTTGAATTCTGCCTTTTTGTCAGGCCCCCCCCCTATCCAAGCCAGGTATAAACTTCTTTTGTTTCTGAACAGCTCCAACTTTCAACTTTTCCTTTGTCTAGACCATTAACATTCTCATCCAAACATCTCACATCTTGACTCTTACAACATATTTTTTCCAGCCTTGATAAAAGTCATCCTCCTCTAAATGTGTTAAATGTATTCAAAACACTGCCACAAAGAAAAAAATCCTTGGCTTATTGCTGTGCCAAGCATTCCTACTGCTTTCCTTCCTGAATTCCTTGTTCTTCACCTCATCAAACTGTTTGTCTTCACTTTATGAAATATCTCTGTCCTGTTTATTATGTCTTATATGCTATCCAATAGTTGACCCTAGAACTCGCATTCTATCAATCAGGCCAGAATGTGTCTCTCATTACTTTGATTTTCCTTCAGATGCCTTCATGCTTTTCCCCCTGCCATTCCTTTGCATGATATGAGATCTGTGCAAAAATCCCCAGAGCCTCTCCTGTATTATTAAGTCTTTCCTAAAAAATTTGCCTGGTTAAGTATGGAAGTGCAATCCTTTTCCAGCCTGCCCAAGTCCCTGAAAAACTTAATAGAAGAGGTGGGTGTAGCATCTTCCTCCTCAATGCTTTTTTGTTACTCAGACATAAGGGTAAGATGACAATGTGTTGTGGAAGTAGATGCATTAATGGATTTTCAGGGACTTGAACAAGGTGGTATAGAGTCAAACTTAGACATCTAAGTCCTTGTAAAGACCTAATAGGTCTGGTCTCCACAGTTTTTCCCCAGCTTTTGGTTGTATTGACCTGTTGTTTCTTCATATTCCAGGATGGTAAGCTCTTAAGGGCAAACACTGTCTTTTTGGTTTATGTGCAGAGAGTGCGTAGCACAATAAGGCTCTGATTCGTGACTGGGGCTTCTAGGGGTTACTATAATACAAATTATAATACAAAAACACAACTGTGTGCCAGATCAAGTTTTCTCATTTCATTTTCATTGCGAGTCTTGCTCTCTGCCATCCTTTCCCCATCTGTAAAAGGGACATAAATCATATTTCCTATACAGAGCAGGGGTGTTTAGAGGCTTAGTGTTTGTAGAATGCTTTGTTCTGTGACTGGAAAGTAATAACAGTACAAAATATTAGTATTAGTCCATAACAGTCATGGTAGTGTTGGAGTGGTATTGTTAGTCATAACAGTCCATCATTTCTGCAGCCTTCAGTGAATAAAGTAAAATGGCCACAAGATGGCACTATAATATAAGTAAGGAGGAAAAATCTGATAAACTGAATGAGGATTTACTTTTAGGATTGTTTGGTATGTGCTCACCTGTAATACAAGAGATGTTGCTTTGTTTGTAACACTAGAAGCCAGAATACTTACAGATTCAAGGTGTTAAGGGACTGTTAAAAATGTCCTGTGAATTTACTGCTGGTGAGAGTGCGCCACACTGACAGCTTCTGTTCCAATGTCCTCTGTGTAGACTCAAAACAGGAATAGTATAGGTAATAGCCTGCACAGTTTCCCACCCCACTCCATAGCCTGACCAGTTTGCCTCTGCACTGATTTGGAGAGACCACCTCCAGGAGTTGACTCTCCTTTCCTGTTTGGTTCTTGGCTATTCTTCTAAGATTGTCAACCAGTATGTTATTGGTTGTTACTTGCGGTAGTATTTTTTTTCAGTGTAGATATCAGGCCGCTAGGCTTAAGCCACTGCACTAAGTTTGCAGACCAGTCATGTTTTATGTTATAACTACAGTAACTGTATTTTGGGGTTGTATCTTCTGACATTCCCAAACTAATGAAAGTTGATCCCATGGAGGGTATGACAGGAAATGGAACACTTTAGATATGCCCCATTCATATACTGTCCCTAAGGCATCTACTGCTTGTCGTTGCTGCAGACAGGATACTTGGCTAGCTGGATCATTTGTTTGACCCAGTATGGCACTTGTTATATTCTTATGCTACTCTATATTAGCAGAGTTGTAGTGGTTCATCTAATTTTATTTTAGCCAGTCTAGTTAAATCAGGGATGGTGATGCACTTAGACCAGTTTAACCCCAGTTTAAACTGGGTTAGCTTCCAACAGCAATTTCATACATGAATACCTTATTTCTAATTAATTGTCCTCTGACTCTCTCTAACTTTTCAGTGTGGAGTCTGGCTACAGGGTTTCCTTCTGCTATATATTTTATTTATTTGGTTGCCTAAATAGTGTGTAAATAAGGAAACATTAAAAGCTATATACTGGAGTTATATGTGCAAGCCCTTTCCATTTAAACGTATGGTGGGATGGTGTTTCTCTAAGAGGTTTCAAGTATAACTTGTTGAATACTGTGCAATTTTGTCATTTTAAGAACACTTCCTATGTTTGCTTATGCCAATGTTCCACAATAAATGTGCTTTGAAGAAAGAGAGGTGGAAGTTCCTTAATTTACAAAATTCACTCAAATTATCTTTTAAGGGCAAGAGAAGAACCTGGAAGGTGAAATGGAGAAACATGATGAGTAATTGTTGTTTATATCAGATATTTTTCATTATATTCTTTTAAGCAGCCACCTAATTTGGCTGTAGTACAGCATTTGGATAACATAAGAAGAAGATGGCTTCGAGATGACCTTTCTGGAGGGGAATATGATACTTTAAAGCAGTGGATCTTAACTTTTTTATATTCAAGGCACCCCTGGATAGACTTTTGGCACCCTTTGAAAATGCTAGCTCTTAGTGGGCACATTTACACTAGATGCTATGCCACTACAGTGACAAGCTACAGCGATGTAGCATCAGCAGACACTAACTGTGACACTGCTGCTGCTGCACAGTAGCAGCGAATTACAGTGCAATATCTCGTTGCTGCTGTGCAGTAGGGTCAAAAACAACCCGTGCGCCACTGGGACTGCTTAGTAGGAGTGGGTATTTCACAGTTTTTTAGTACTTACTAAAGCAAATACTAAATGACTGCACAGTACCCACTGCATAATGGGATGCAGCAGAGCCAACCCAAGCAGGGTGTGGGGCCCAGGGCAAATCAGCCCACGTGGGACCCCACCCCGATCCCATGTGCCCTGAACCTGAAGAAGCTGCCACCGCCATTGGCAGTGGTGCATTGGCGGCAGGGGGATGGGGGGAAGCAAGTGGCTGCACGGGAATCCGGTGGCGGTGGCTTAGAGTTGCCGTGGCCGCTCTCCCCAGCTCCACGGGGCCCCCTAAAGCACAGGGCCCGGGGTGGTAACCCTGATCCCCCCCCCCCCCCCGGGGGTGTAGACAGTACTCCTCCCCCCCCAATGGCTTTGGGTGCACGTGTAGATGAACCCAGTTTTTACAACTTTTTTTACTTCAGAAAAATAATAGAGCAATTTTTCTGCTGCAAAGAACTCGCAAAGACCGAAACGATGGATTTCTATCTGAAATTTCTGGCATTATTTTATGAATAATGTTTGCAGACCTAACAGTACTAACATTATGTGGCATCCCATGGCACTCTTGAAAGGATTTCAATGCACCCCAGAATGCCTTGGCACCCTGGTTGAGAACCACTGCTCTAAAGTAATCATTTTTGTGAGTCAGGGTTATTTAACTTTCAGAGGGTGCTGAGGGAGTTAGAAAACTGCCTGGAGCATCGGGCTTAGAGGGTAGTAGTCAATGACTCAATATCTAGTTGGCAGCCGGTTTCACGTGGAGTGCCCCAGGGATTGTTGCTGGGGCCAGTTTTGTTCAGTATCTTCATCAGTGACCTGGAAAATGGCATAGAGCACACCCTCAGCAAGTTTACAGATAAAACCAGGCTGGGTGGAGTAGTAGATACGCTGGTGGGTAGGGTTAGGATTCAAAGTAACCTAGACAAATTGGAGGATTGGGCCAAAAAAAATCTCATGAGATCCAATAAGGACAAATGCAAAGTCCTGCACTTAGGACAGAAGAATCCCATGCAGGCTGGGGTCTGATTGGCTGGGCAGCATTCTGCAAAAAAGCACCTGGGGGTTACAGTGCATAATAAGCTGAGTATGAGCCAACAGTGTGCCCTTGTTTCCAGGAAGGCTAATGGCATGCTGGGCTGTATTGGTAGGAGTGTTGCCAGCAGATCAAGGGAACTGATTATTTTCCTCTATTCAGCACTGGTGAGGCCACATCTGGAGTACTGTGTCCAGTTTTTGGCCCTTCACTACAAAAAGGCTATGAACAAGTTGGAGAGGGTCCAGAGGAGGGCAACAAAAAATGGTGAGGGGGCTGGGGCACATGACTTGTGAGGAAAGGCTGAGGAAATTGTGCTTACTTAGTCTAGAAAAGAAAAGACTGAGAGGGGATTTAATAATAGTCTTCAAGTACCTGAAGGATGGTTTGAAAGCGTATGGAGCTAGATTGTTCTCAGTGGTGGCAGATGACAGAACAAGGAGCAATTGTCTCAAGTGGCAGTAAGGGAAGTTTGGGTTAGGTGTTAGCAAGAACATTCTCATTACGAGGGTAGTAAAACACTGGACCAGGTTACCCAGAGTGG